ACATAATCAAGGCGTCTGTTACCGCATACCATCTCTCTCTCTCTCTCTCTCTCTCTCTCTCTCTCTCTCTCTCTCTCTTCAGTGAGGTGAGTCTGAATCCATCATTAACGTTTAATTACGTTAAGCTTCTCACTCTCCCTGACACTCCCAGACCTAACTCCCTGACACTCTCCCTGGCCTGACTCTCCCTGACACTGCCTGACACTCTCCCTGACCTGACTCCCTGACACTCTCCCTGACTCTCCCTGGCCTGACTCTCCCTGACACTGCCTGACACTCTCCCTGACACTCTCCGTGACTCTCCTTGACACTCTCCCTGACACTCTCCCTGGCCTGACTCTCCTTGACACTGCCTGACTCTCTCCCTGACACTCTCACTAAGCCTTCACCTCTCTCACTAATGGGTGTCTCGCGTCCCGAGTGATCCAACTCTCATGTTTATTTTCTGTCCCGGTTCCAGTGGTCCTGTGGTCCAATGATCCGGTGATCTAACGGTTCCCTGATTCAGTGGTTCCGTGGTCCAATGATCCAGTGATCCTTTAGTCCAATGGTACAGTGATCGAATGGTCTTGTGGTCTAACTGTCCAGTGGTTCAATGGTCCAACTGCCAGGTAGCACAGTGGTCAAATGGTCCAATGGTCCAGTGATCCAATGGTCTCTACAGTAATCGAAGAAGTACGGTGGCTGAGACGTAACAACACTCAACTCCTGCCCCAAGGGTGGCAAGTTGGCACCAGGGTCACCCACAGCCGACCCAGCTGTGGACGGACACCTCACTTGACAGTTCGAGTAATGAAGGCTGTCGAATATAGTGCCAGCCACATTGACCTCGTGAAGATATTTGACCTTTCATTCCTAGCTGTGACCTTCACCTCTGACATACACACAGACACAAAAACAGAGAGACAGACAGACAAAAACACACTCGTGTATAGATACATACACACAAAAACAAACACAGAAATACACACACACACACACACACACACACACACACACACACACACACACACACACACATGCCGTGTTTACTGAATAAAAAATGTTAAACTTCCTCATTAAAAAGGCAGCAATACACCAACTCATTAGTAACTTGACAACCCAGAGTAAATGGCAGTGTTAATGTGACATCTACCTCGTGTTGAATTAGTCATTCTGTTTTATGGAAGTTAGGTGTGGGTGTGTGTTTGTGTGTGTGTGTGTGTGTGTGTGTGTGTGTGTGTGTGTGTGTGTGTGTGTGTGTGTGTGTGTGTGTGTGTGTGTGTGTGTGTGTGACATTGTTTTACTCTCAGATTATTATTATTATTATTATTATTATTATTATTATGCCAAAAAATTTAAATAAAATAAAATAAAAATGCAATACGGGAAATTGAAAGAAAAACTGAATAAAATTGGATTAAGAAAAAATATACAAAATCATCACACATATTCTAAGGTGTAGCCCAAAATATCAGACACTCAGGTAAACATCAGGTATACATCAGACACTCAGGTAACCATCAGGTAAACATCCAATTAAATCTAAGTGTATTTTACTACCATAATTCACCCGAAGGAAACAAAAAATAATACGGAAGAAAAAAAAAATGTTCATTAAGCCGAGAAAATATGCACAAAGTTGGAATCCTGAGTTTTAGGAATTCTTGGAATCTGTGAGAATATGTCCAGGGGCTTGTGCCAGGACAGGCCAGGGCCATGAGTGTTTCACCTTCACCTAAACATTGTGTTGAGAGTATTAACTTAACTCTTTGTTGTTGTTGTTGTTGTTGTGGTGGTGGTGGTGGTGGTGGTGGTGGTGGTGTTTTTGTTTATCTTTGTGGACAAATGTTTGTGTTAAGGGTCATGTTAGTGGATCTTTATTTTTCACTTTTATCTAGATATTTGTTTCTTGTTTTATGTTTTTGTGTTTTTAGCTTTGTATAAACATTGTGTTGAGAGTATAGCTTTTATCTTTGTGTTTTTAGCTTTATATAAACATTGTGTTGAGAGTATAGCTTTTATCTTTGTGTTTTTTAGCTTTATATACAAATTTTTCTCTTGCTTTATATTTCTGTTGTTTTTAGCTTTATATAAACATTTGTGTGAGTCTTACAAAAAAAAAACAGCAGCACCAAGAACCATAAAAACAAAACAAACAGTAATTGCAATAAAAAAACAAACAAACAATCAATAACAATGATTACTTTGACCTTTGTGACCCTCTCCCTCTTCGAACACCAATGACCATGACCTTTGACCCAATAACACCTAAGATCAACAGTGACCTTAATTTCTTCCGCAGGTCAAGTTACCTGTGTAGTAATTAAGGCGAGTGTTACCTGGCCCTCAGTCCTAATGGATGCAAACCTGATCTAACCATTAAGAGTGGTTAGGTTAGGTCAGGTTAGGTTAGGTTAAGCTAGTTTGGGTTTGGTTAGGTTAAGGGATGATCCACATGCACTCATACGTTTACAGTACCCCACACACTTCATATAACTACACACACACACACACACACACACACACACACACACACACACACACACACTGTCTCTCTCCCTCCACAAAAAAAATGAAGGATCACTTTAAGTCAGGCCGCCTCTCATTCCCAAAGGCAGCGGAATCGAAACTCAAGCTTCTCCCACTCAAGCTTCTCCCTCTCAAGCTGCTCCCTCTCAAGCTTCTCCCTCTCAAGCTTCTCCCACTCAAGCTTCTCCCACTCAAGCTGGCTCCACGTTTTTTTTTATAAACCGATGAAGGAAAAAAAGAAAAAAACAAAATCACGGAGAAATAGAGAACGTTCAACTCTTCATTCACAGCGAAATTGAAGAAATTATTCATCATTCATCATCGTGGAGGAGTGTTTGATGAAGCAGCTGCGTCAGGGGGAGAGATATCGACAGCTGCCAGCGGTTGAACTACTCTACTGCTGGATGGGGGAATTGGGAAAGGAGTAGGGTAAAGGAAAGTGAGGAATTAAAGGTGGTGAAAGGTGGTGTATTGGGTGGTGAGTATAATTGGGTGGGTGAGTATGGTGGGTGAGTGAGGTGGGTAGGTGGGTGAGGTGGGTAGTGAGGTATGGTGGGTGAGTGGGGTGGGCAGGTGAGTATGGTGGAGTGAGTGAGGTGGGTGGATGAGTATGGTGGGTGAGTGGGGTGGGCAGGTGGGTGTATGGTGTGAGTGGGGTGGGCAGGTGGAGTATGGTGGGTGGATGAGTATGGTGGGTGAGTGGGGTGGGTGGATGGGTATGGTGAATTTGAGTGGTATGGTGGGTGGTGAGTGGTATGGTGGGTGTGTGAGTATAGTAGGTGGGTGAGGTGGTTGGGCATGATGGATTGATAGGTGAGTGACGTGGGATGGTGGGCGGATTAGAGAGGTAAGTGGGTGGGTGGGTAGGTGGGTGGGCGGGTGGGCGGGTGGGTGTGAGGAAGATGTGCATGTACAACTACTTAAATAAAATAAAATAAAATAAATACATAACCCATTTTATTAAGGAAAATTTGGTAAATTGTGAACATGGCCAAACTCAGCTCCTAAAACTAACCCTAAATTAAGGTATGATTCAGTTCCTAAAATTAAGGTAAATTAAGGTATCCTCTACGGCATTAAGGCAGAATAAACGTCTATAAACAAAAGCTAAAGAGACTCTGATGAAACAATACCCAAACAACCCCCTTCCCTTCCTTTCCTCTTCCTTTCGTTTCCTTCCATTCCCATCCTCTCCTTTCCCTTCCCATACTCCCCCGTTCTTCTCCCTTTCCATCTTCCATCCTCTCACTTTTCCTATCCCTCCCCCTCTTTCCCCCATCCTTTTCCTTTCTATTCTCTCTTCCTCTTCCCGTCCCTCTCCCACCCTACATCTTTCCCCTTCTCTCCCACTTCCTCAAATCTCCCTCTCACCCCTTTCTCTCCAATTCTTTCATCCTACACCTTCCTCCCTCCCTTCCATCCCCCCCCCCATCCTTTCCTTTCCCATCCCTCCTCCACCTAAGTCATATATTTCAACTATATAATGCAAAAATATATCGAATGTTTTATATGACCTAAACGTAAATTCGTTCCTAAGATATAGAAGCAAACTAACTCACAAATATAGATTCGATCTTATATAATAAAATAGTAAAAAATAAAATTATACTCGATTTCAAGATATAACTATAAACTTGTATTCGATTTCAAGATAAAATAATAACTACAGGAAAAAGAAAATAAGAATATATATAAAAAAGTCACAGGTGTAAATTGGCGCCAAAAGGTGAAGCAATGACCATCAATTTCTTTACACATATGTTCCAAAACCAATTCAGAGACTTGTTCCAGTAATTTTGAGAGTCGTTCTAGGAATTAGGAGTCTCGTTCCAGCTGTTCGGAGACTCATTCCAACAATAAAATCTCATCGTTCCAGCAATACAAAGAGTCATTTCAGTAATACAAAGATTCATTCCAGGAAAACAAAGATTCATTCCAGGAAAACAAAGATTCATTCCAGCAATACAAACTGATCCAAACAATTCCGAGTCTCTTTCCAGCAGTTCAAAGTCCCAGGTGTGTAAAGGGACTATTGTTCGTGACTGTACAAGAACCTGAATTACATAAAATCACCAAAATTGTACACAAAGATGACGGAGGGAAGTGGGGGGGGGGGAGCGGAAGACTTACCTGGGTCCAAATCAAACTCCGGTAGCTTCTCTTCAGGTAAATCCTACAATATTTGACAAATATTAAACTCTGGAAATCACAAAAGTCGACTTAATACTCAAGACTCTGGAAAGGGGGGTTTGATACAGTCTGGAATCTGGAAGAGGTTTACTACAGTCTGGAATATGGAAGAGGTTTACTACAGTCAGTCTGGAATCTGAAAAACCTTTACTACAGCCTGGAATCTGAGAAAGGACTGATACACCCTGGAAACTGAAAGGAATCTGGAAGTGGTTTAATACGGCCTGGAATGCAAGAGATAAATACACGAAGGAGACACAGATAGAGAGGAAGAGAGACACTGAGAGATGACCACCCACCTGAATCTCTGCAATCTGCCTGGTGGAGAAGCGCTTGATGAAGGAGTCTTCTCTCTTGAGGGGCGGCTTGGTACGGTTCATGGAGGAGGAGAGCGCCCCTGATAGCTGGACTGTGGTGCGGAGCTTCAGCCATCTCTGGTTCGATTTCATCCTGTTGGTGTCGTGGTGGTGAGGAAGGGCGGGAGGAAGGACAGAGGGGAAGGGAGGAAGGATGGGGAGAGAAGGGGATGGGGAGACAGGGAGATGGAGAGAGAAGGGAAGGGAAACATGGGAAGGGGAGAGAAGGGGATGGGGAGACAGGGGGTTGGAGAGAGAAGGGAAGGGAAACATGGGAAGGAGAGAGAAGGGGATAGGGTAGAGAGGGGATGGGGACAGAGGGGGAAAGGGACAGAGGTGGATGGAGAGAAAGGGGATGGGGATAGAGGAGGAAGGGGAGGGTAGAGAGGGGGAGGGGGGGAGGGAGAAAAAGAGTGAGATATATGAGTGTCAGTTTCCACATCAACACTTATCTTATTCATGGAAAATCTCAACACCTAACGTCAATATTTTGGTTCTGGAATTAAACTTATGATTTATGGAGTGTTGCAGTGAGGGGGTTCATTGGCTGTCTCGAATCACCTGAGAGTAACGATAATAACAATATTTATTGGTCATTTAGGTCATCAGAACAACCATAAACAAGTTATGACGATAATTCTAATGACCAAAACATATTATTAGTTATGTTTTTATTAGTTATTTCGAGACACCAATCAAAATTCATGAATCTCAACAGTCCTTATGTATGATTGGCTTACTCTAGCATCAGAAACTACAAAAACTCAGCAAACTCAGCAAATACTGACCAATCAAAATTCAGAATCAAAGCAGCTTTAATTTATAACTGGCTGACAAAAAAGTAAACAATACAGACTTTAGACTTACCAGCATTATACAAACACAACATATTCTAAAATACTTAATACTTTCAAAATACTTATAATTAACGTACACTACAGTTTAAAACACGAGTCAAAAGTGTACTGTCGATTGTAAGTAACCGATAGACTATTTATTAATATACATAATACCTTTTTATTTACTATTACTACTTAGCAATATAAACACGTACACGGATATTACTTACACGAATATTACTGAGCAACATAAATTACACAATACCTTAATATTAGTTAGCAATAGCAAGTACATGGATATTACTCAACTATTGGAATATTACTAAGCTAGTAGGTAATATTCCAGCAATATTTGAGCTGTGGCAGAACAATAAGAGGAAGAGGGAATCTAAATTTTGCTGTGCAGTTGTTTGGGCTTAAAGCTATGTTCAGCTAAAGGAGAAGGCAAGAAGCTAACAGAAAGCTACAGGGCGATACTCTAAGGCATGAATGAAAGAAAATAGGAAAAAAGAAGCAAAGGAAAATAGAAAAAGTGAAACACATTGATAGTTACTAAGAAAATAAATTAATAATGAAAAAAATATATATGTGGGGATAATTCACTAAAAATTTCACAAGTAAACATAATTATTGACGTACCATTCTTGCATATTCCCTATGTTATTTCTGTAATCATCTCTCCAGAATGTTCTTCACCTGTTCTAATTCATGGTGGGAGAGCCTCATTGGGTTCACACACTCTTGTTCTCAATCACATATTCTAACACCAGGTGAGATTATAACTACGGTCACCTTGTTTTTCATTAATCCACAGGTGAGGTCAGCGATACATAGTAAAATCATCACCTTAACACCTTAATTAATTAGTCTCAGGTAACAGGTAATTAACATTATCTGTCTCAGGTGATCGACTTTCACTCTCACCAAGGTAATAACTAACAGGTATGAGTCTTAGGCATTAACATATCGTACTGTCATTCGTAAGTAACCTTAGATTAATAATTTTCCTGTAAGTATCAGATAATATGGTAAGGTATATAAAATAATGAGACAGACAGACAGACAGACAGACAGACAGACAGACAGATTGCTATAGGGTATAATTAATATTTCAAATGCGTTTTATCTCCTCCTCAGTATTTTGACTCAGCAGTGCCAACATCACGTATCCCCTCAGCAGTACCAACATAATGTCTCCACTCAGCAGTGCCAACATCACGTATCCCCTCAGCAGTACCAACATAATGTCTCCACTCAGCAGTGCCAACATCACGTATCCCCTCAGCAGTACCAACATCATGTCTCCACTTAGCAGTGCCAACATCATGTCTCCCCTCAGCAGTGCCAACATCATGTCTCCCCTCAGCAGTGCCAACATCATGTCTCCCCTCAGCAGTGCCAACATCATGTCTCCCCTCAGCAGTGCCAACATCATGTCTCCCCTCAGCAGTGCCAACATCATGTCTCCCCTCAGCAGTGCCAACATCATGTCTCCCCTCAGCAGTGCCAACATCATGTCTCCCCTCAGCAGTGCCAACATCATGTCTCCCCTCAGCAGTGCCAACATCATGTCTCCCCTCAGCAGTGACAACATCATGTCTCCCCTCAGCAGTGCCAACATCATGTCTCCCCTCAGCAGTGCCAACATCATTATCTCCCCTCAGCAGTGCCAACATCATTATCTCCCCTCAGCAGTGCCAACATCATGATTCCTCTCAGTAGCGCCAACATCATTACCACATTCCTGACCACACACCTAACCTAACCTAACCACACACCTGGCCACACACCTTACCTAACCTAACCACACACCTGACCACACACCTTACCTAACCTAACCACACACCTGACCACACACCTAACCTAACCTAACCTAACCTAACCACTCATCCACAAGTATATACATAGAGTTTATCAAACCACATGAGTGTAGGAATTACCTTCATGACTGTAAAATATGATGCACACAAGAGCGTTTCTACACATGAACTTATTAAAATCAATTTGGGGATATTTTATTGTTTTTAATAATTCTGTCAATTGTTGTTATAAATCTTGAATGAGAGTAATGATTAATGAAGTAACTTTATTTGATGACACACATACAAACACACACACACACACACACACACACACACACACACACACACTTTACTAATATAGTCCCTGTGTGTTTTATTCAGACACTTAAATTACAGTATTATTAAAGATCAGTATTACATTTTAGGGAGTCGTCATTAATGTAGTCGTCATTACATTTAGGGGGTCGTCATTAGATTTAAGAGTCGTCATTATATTTTTGGGAGTCATCATTAATGTAGTCGTCATTACATTTAGGGGGTCGTCATTATATTTAAGAGAGTGGTCATTATATTTTTGGGAGTCGTCATTAATGTAGTCGTCATTACATTTAGGGGGTCGTCATTATATTTCAGAGAGTCGTCATTATATTTTTGGGAGTCGTCATTAATGTAGTCGTCATTACATTTAGGGGTCGTCATTATATTTAAGAGAGTCGTCATTATATTTTTGGGAGTCGTCATTATGGTAGTCGTCAATATTAAGGTAGTCGTGATATTTTTAGGGAGTAGTAATTAATAGTAACAAGAAGACAGAAATAAAGTGAAAATAGTTAAAACGTTCAGGCCACGACGGCCCTGGTAGGTCGTTCACCCCGACGACCACAACTACCTGGCCGTGTTTAACTACCGTCTGGATCTTTTAATTAGTGGCACCTCCCTCAACCTGATTGGCTGGCTGGTGGGAGAAGCAAGAGTAGTAAAGAGGAATGCTAGGAGGAGTGGGGAGGGAAGACACTAAGAGGAACGCTTAAGAGGAGTGGTAGTAAGAACGTTTAAGAGGAGTGGTAGTAAGAACGTTTAAGAGGAGTGGCAGCAAGAACGTTTAAGAGGAGTGGTAGTAAGAACGTTTAAGAGGAGTGATAGTAAGAACGTTTAAGAGGAGTGGTAGTAAGAACGTTTAAGAGGAGTGGTAGTAAGAACGTTTAGGAGGAGTGACACACAGCACGACCCAGCACGACACAACACGACCCAGCACGACACAGAATAGTGAAGCTTAACATAGTTGCAGTCTTAGTGAAGGATAATAGGAGGAATATCTCAGGTAGGGGGGGGGGAGGGGGGTGGAGGGAGTGGGGGAGAGGGATGGAAAATAAGAGGTGAGAGAGAGGGAGGGAAGAAAATGAGGGAGGTAGATAGATCAGATAGATTAGATAGATTAGACAGATAGATAGACATAAAAAATGGAAAAGTAAATACATACATACATACATACATACATACATACATACATACATACCAGAAGGCTGTTGTTGTGTGCGGGTTAACTAGACTGGTGTATGTCTTCCTCACAACACACGCTTGGACGTAATTCTTAATTTAGAACTTGATAATTCAGTTATTTCTCCCATCATTCTTCTTTCTTTTCTTCCTTGAGGCTTCTCTCTCTCTCTCTCTCTCTCTCTCTCTCTCTCTCTCTCTCTCTCTCTCTCTCTCTCTCTCTCTCTCTCTCTCTCTCTCTCTCTTTACCTCAGTGTTTTTCTTCTCCTCTATCTTCTTCTTTCTCCCTTCTCTCAATATTCATCTCTCAGTTACTCTCCTCTCATCCAATTCTTCCTTCTATTTTTCCTTCTCCCATTCCTTCTCCTCTTTCTCACCCTCCTCCTCTTTCTCACCCCCTCCTCTTCCTCCTCCTCTTTCTCACCCCCTTCCTCTTCCCCTCCTCTTCCTCTTGCCTCCGGCCCCACCAACATAACTCTCACGGAATCTCGTAAGCATACAGAGTTATGCCACAACTCTCACACGGTATAAGTCAGGTCCAATGGTTCTCGTAATTCAAATGGCCCTCGGTAAGTCAGATGGCCCTCGGCGAGTGAGATGGCCCTTGTAAATAAAATGGCCCTCAGTAAATCAGATGGCCCTTGTAAATAAAATGGCCCTCAGTAAATCAGATGGCTCTTGTAAATCAAATGGCCCTCAGTAAATCAAATGGCCCTCAGTAAATCAGATGGCCCTTGTAAATAGAATGGCCCTCAGTAAATCAAACGGCCCTCAGTAAATCAAATGGCCCTCAGTAAATCAGATGGCCCTCTTCAGTGAAACAATGGCCCGAAAACCCAGCAGTCTACGTTATACGGCTGGGTGAGGATGATGAGAGTGTGTGTGTGTGTGTGTGTGTGTGTGTGTGTGTGTGTGTGTGTGTGTGTTGTGATTTGCTGTGTTGTGCTGTGATGTAATATGTTGTGATGTGTAGTTCGACCTTAACACACACACACACACACACACACACACACACACACATAAAAACACTGGTTAAAATATTAAAGCTAATCTGAACACGACAGATGAGTTACCTTTAAACACGCCGGGAAAAAATAATTGTAAATTAATTTTATCGTAAAGCACATCCCCCCCCATCCCCTTAGCCCCCACCCACACTCTTCCCTTCCCCCTACCCACTCCTCCTATCCCCTACCCACTTCCCCCTACCCCCTACCCACTTTCCCTTCTCTCCTACCCACTCTTCTCTATCTCTCTCCTACCCTATCCACTCCTTCTCCCTTATATCTACTCCTCCCTCCTTCCTACTCCACCACTCACCTACCCACACTCCCCCTCCCCCCTACCCACCCACACTACCCATACTACATCCCTCCATCCTACCCACACTCCCCTCCCCCTACCACCACACCCACTCCTCCACCACTCACCTCCCCACACCCCATACCCTCCCCACTAAATATCAACAAACTATATACCTTTACAAACACACACCCAGAATTATTTTATACTTTCAACATCAATCTCAGTTTTAACGTTAAATAAAACCATCACAAACAAAATACCTCAAAACTTTATATACTTTCAAAATATATCTGAAAAAAATCGGAAAGTAAAATCAATGTCACGTCCAAGCTACCGAGACAAAACTACCACACGCAAGTATAATATTTACTTCAGATACTATTGAAAGATTAATGGAATTAGTCAATACTCGGTAGCTGAAGGTCATCCTCTGAGTGTGACCTTGGTATAATGACGTATTGTTCACCTTCGTATAACCTATAAATTAATGACGTGTTGTGTAACCTATAAAACACCTGAGTGATATTTTATAAAACAAATGAGTGTTTTTAGTCTTTAAAATAATAAAGTGATGTTTTTTTTATCCTTTAAGACGACCTGGTTTGCTTCTCTTGCCTTTAAAACACTTTCAAATACCTATCAAACAATTTAGAGTATATTCCTCTATTGTAAAACACGTCAAACATCAAAAATAATGTTTTTCTCCATTACAAACACCCATCACACAACACAGCGCTCAAACACCACGGAATGTGTTTTTTAGCCATCTCAAACAACCCAGTGTTTTTTTTCCTCCCCACTTCAAATACCACACGAATATTCCACACTTTTTCTACCTTTGAAACTCTGCCAGGTGATGTTATCTGCCACATACAGGTAATTAATGATATTGTTACCTTTTCATAGTAATTGTCGTGTTTACCTGAGTCCGTTTCAGGTGTCATGGCAAACAAGAATTTGTGCGTTTTCGTGTAAACAAATAAACACAAGTCAATACAAATGTTTTTCTTTTATGTTTTACAGTGTTCATAATACACATACAAACAAACATACATATATACATACATACATACATATACATACATACATACATACATACATATTAGATAGATAGATAGAGAGATTACACAATGATAAATTTCCAATCGTTACTAATCTTCTTTCCGATGACAACCTGAATGGATTATAGATTGGTCAGGCCGTGGCTGTGTGCTCTCCAATCCTTAGAGTAATGGGCCTGGCTCTCTCTCTCTCTCTCTCTCTCTCTCTCTCTCTCTCTCTCTCTCTACCTATCTATCTTTCTCTCTCTCTGTGATTCGATCATTGATTAGTGTTGTGTTTGTTAGAGAGAGAGAGAGAGAGAGAGAGAGAGAGAGAGAGAGAGAGAGAGAGAGAGAGAGAGAGAGAGAGAGAATAACATTTTCATCTGTTTGATTCCCTAATAATTGCGTAATAATAATAATAATAATAACAATAATAACACAACACTAATAACCTTAATAACAATATAAATAGCAATAATAGTAACAATAAAAATGAAAATAATAATAGTAATAAAGGCAGTAAAATTAATAGTAATAATAAAAGTATGGTTAATAATAGTAATAATATCAATAATAACTACAGTAAGAAAGCAAATAATAGTAATAATAAAAACAATAATAATAGCAATAGTTTCCAATATCAATCACATCATTCAATCCGGTATTCAACTCAGCGCTAAGTGGTTGTCTCTTTGGATCTCAGAGGTGTGGAAGACGCCATCTTGCAATTAATTAAATGGATTTGAGAGACGGAGGAGCATCTCAAACACTGCCAGAACATCAGTGAGGAGGATTCAATAGCGCGCTCAATGGGTTCCCCGACTGTGTTACCGCGTCTATAGTTCTGGCGGGTGACGCTTCCCACTGAATCTATACTCTGAGATTTGTCCCTCTCTATACTACTACTATTATTATTACTACTATTACTATTATTACTACTACTATTACTATAACTACTACTAAAACTACTACTAAAACTACTACTACCACTATTACTACTACTAATGATAATGATAATAATAATAATAATAATATCAGTTTACAAATGGAGTAGGATTTTGT